CAAATCGTGATAATCACCTAGATTCTCACAACCCAGTTTTTCCCATACTTTTTTCGCGTGTTCGTAATCGTCTTGTGTGATAGACCCGTCAGACAGCTTGATATAGAAGCGGTCAATAGGAAGCAACTGTGTCTCATTATACTTAGACCAGTCATCCATGTATTCATATGGGTAGATACCCTTACGTAACAGCAAAGCTCGAGTTTCCTCTTCTGTGTAACGATTAGTTACAGCTGCGTCGTTTGGGGTATTAGCCTTGACCAAGCTGTCTAGAGACGACAACAGAAACTGAACACTATCTATGAATCCCAACCCATTTAGCGAAAAGGATATAAATCTTTCCATATTGTTAGGGATACAGGATATGTTGCCTTTTACCTTTGCAATAGCTTGCATAATCAAGTGTGAATCATACCCGCGATGATTGTGAAACACCACTCGTATATGAATAAGTTTAGGATTTATTCTTTGCTTCAAGTTACATTCATTGTGAGCCGCACTTCTGTATTTACCAGTAATGTGACAGTGATCTCTAACTGAATCACCATTCAGAGGTTTACAGCACACAATGTCATGACAATGTGTGCTTTTGTTGTGGGCTTCCCGGTCTGCTTGGGTCATACGCATTGGTGTTTTGTTACATAGTTTTTTAATAATCATTTTCTCTTCGTGTTGTAAACGCTTTAGAAATTCTTCAGCCGCGTCTGGTCCTCTATAAATAACTGGAGGGTTAGTTTGACCATCACAACGAACGACCACACCCGAACCTACACGCTTCGTGCTCTTGTACTTTTTGTGTGAAACTTTGATTAGTGGATTGAGCTACTGTATCTATTGGCTTAATGGTAGCTTCGAAGTCGGCTAGCTTCGAAGTCGGGGTAGATAATATATATGGTACTGGCATTTGATTTTTGTGGTTGATTAATTTCAAGATGTTGTTTTTTTCTCTCGGCATCTCTATTCGTGCGGTTGTCTCCCCCACACCTAGGCAATCAACCCTGTGCGAATCAAGCAGATCAGCCCTAGAAAACCCGTGAAGGCACCTTTCACAAAAGTGGTTCTTTTCCCTGTGTTTCGATTGATTGTACAACAGTCGGCTGAAATTCTTTATCCATGTGTAGTGATATTTTTCACCTTGTTGGATCATAAATATATTGATCATTTTACGACAATCCTTATACAATAAAGGACTTATCCTGTGTACTATTACGTTTTTACCTTCGTGTCCGAAAACGTTTATGGTTAAGTCTTGATTCTGTTGTTCTAGTTTTTGGATCTGAGAGATGGGGGTGGGTTCGTCTATACCTTCCCAGTTGATCCCGTCATCTTCTGGATAACTGGAAAGTCTATCGGAATGTTTTTCAACTGGAAATTTAGCAGATCTTATCGCTATCCTCATACAATTGTTGTCTCGGTTTTTAACGTTAACCATAGCTTGTTTTTTCTTGAAATACTCAGAAAGGGGTAAGTACGATCCACCTTTCAACGGTATATAGTTTGCTATATCCAGGTAGACCATATTAATCTTGTCAACAACCCAACCAGAACCCATATTAGTGTAATGTTCTAGTGTTTCTCACATTTTTTCTAATTATTTGTCTATAGAAGAGTTGATAGTGTCTGGTTGCGTTGTAACTTCTTGATTACCTCTGAAGTAAACATTGGTGTATTCAGTTGTTTCATTCAACTGATGTTTCTCTAGTGTCATGTTTAACGTGAGTTGAAATTTAATACCTCTTAAATCTTTCAGTTCGTTTACTTTGTCAAATACCAATGGTTTTATGTCTTCAACATCTATGTTTCTTTGAACTTCCATCTTCCAACCTGTCAAATATTTCCCTACAGCATGCTCAGTAGGCGTGAATTGTAATTCTATAGGTTTTTGTTCTTTCAGTAATTCAATGAGCTCAGATTTCCTCATACGAGAATAACCTCGCATTCCACGTTCACGTGCTTGCTTTGTTAGTTCTTTCACAGTTGGTGGTTTTTGATACTTAAAACCTAATAAATCTAGTAATTCATGTTTTCTCATACGAGAATAACCTCGAAGTCCACGGTCTCGTGCTTGCTTTTTCAATTCATGTACTGTAAACATATCATAAAGTTACAAACACAGTAATGATATTATATGTGAAACAATTCTCTAAATAGACAAACATCCTTCATGTTAAACATAAGATGATGTAATAGATATAGTATTGTGTAATCTAACCCGTAACATACACCTTTCATACATCGAGGGACTTGATACGATTTGACTTCATTAAATGTGACACTCTAATGTTGATAGAAAAAATGTAATAGATACATATTGATTGCTTGTCTTATATAGGATGACCCCATACTCCATAGTCTTACTCTTTCGAGTAAGACTATGGTTTCTTTTTATCTCCCCTGTAAAAAGTATCCATAGTCTTACTCTTTCGAGTAAGACAATGGTTACTTTTTTACAGGTCAGATAAAAAGTATTTTGGAATGGGTGTATGGTTCCCGTACCACATAGTCTTTCGAGTAAGACTATGACTACCTTTTTACATGGGAGATGAAAAGTAGTTGTATTATGGGTTTAAAAATTTATATGAGTTAGGAATACATACTTATTGATTCCTTGCCTTATATAGGCTGGTCGACTTCTTGTCCTGCAGCAACAACAGGTGTGCATCGTCTGCCGATTCAAAATAACAATATCAACCGGCATACCATGCAGATGTGGCACAGGAAAAGGTAGGCAACGGCTTCGTGTTCATGCAAATATCTGTTGTCACAAGAATTGTCACATCACTGACATAACTAAGATAAAAAAAAGAGAATTTTATGCATGAATGGGAGGCTGGGTGATTTACGATAAGGGTTACTATCATTCATTACAAGTGATACAAAACTTTATCAAAGAGGGGGTAATCATAATTATCAAAAGGAGCAGGTGCCCACTCTTTGCACAGATCAGACTTTACAGGGATTAAGTAAAGCAACATGTAGGCATTAACAACCACAACTATATAACATGTCGTGTATTAAACAACGACTATAGGATAGTGGTAATAAAGCCGTGACAACAGGAGGAAGTCAAATGTCCAAGAGGTAGAAAATACACAAGGCTGGAATGCTCTACTAAGTTGTTGCTATCAGTTCATTGTATGCAGATGGGATGAGATATCCTTCATCTCTGTTGATGAAGAGCCTGTGTCCTGCGGATTTGAACTGCTGAATCCATGTTGATGTATATATAAATATGCTACAGCACCTCAGTCTCGCTTGACAACGGTATAAGAAATCTATACCGAAACGTCGCATCCTAAATAATAAAGACGTTTCATCCATGAAGCGAAAATGTGTTGAAAGAACGATGTGAATGTAAGTCACTCACGTGAGGCTCTAAAATCATATGGTGGTCGACAGATGTCTTTAATTCCTGATTGGTTTATTTTCTCATGATATTATTGTATAAAAAATCGATCGTTTCCTTCAAATTCGTATTACAACACAAATCATAAAATAGATAATACCTATATTATGATCTCGGTAGCAACGGCATGGAGCGTGTTGTTCAGTGACAAAACAATGTGAAAATTCATCGAGGAGACTTACGCAATGGATTGATAATATATCTAAACGATATCAAATGCAGAACATAATATAACATATAGTGTAGGATTTATGTGTTTCAAGAGAAGATGCTGCTTAAAAACTAAATCCATGTCGACATCAATTAGGCATTGTTAGACAAATCCAAATATAAATATTTTAACTACCAGTCCTATGTTCATTGAAATTGCAATATATTTGGACTTTGGGCCTTAGCCTGGGATGTTGATACGCTTTACAACAGATTACGTGAACACCCAGTGGGGCGCTGACGTCCGGGGAGGGAGGTCTGGGTGGATGTGTACACCATTGAGTTTGTTTTGCAACGCCAATAACCTTTCTAAAAAATGTGTGCAAAAACGGTGTGTGTCTGGTGTAGTGTGCAGTTTAGCAAAGAAGAACGCGTTGTTCATCCTGCGAGACCGTTCAGGCAGATGGTAAAAATATCTCTATTCGTTAAGTCGGCAAATCACAGATACATGTTACTGTGAGTACTTGATAACTGAACAGCAGCTCATCTGCTCAGCTGCAACGCCGCTGCAATGGGTGAGAAGCATTTCACTTTATGACCAAATACTGTTACGTACTATAAAAATCTCCAACAACCTCTGCGTTTTGCAGGTATATATCGTAGCTCTTTCCTAACGTATTCATCAAGTTTCATTCAGCATTTTCATCTAAGAAAATTCCGATACCTTTTCGATAGAACGTAGACATTATAGTTTGTTGGACCACTGACTTCAAAATACTGACTTTATGCATTTCATTTGTGCAATGGTACATTATGTTTAGCACTATCTGTGTGCACAAACCAGTCGTTTCAACACATTACCTGAAGAGATATTTTCATAAGCAAGTTAAGCTCTTTTGCCGATCCAGACTTCTTTGAAATATAAAACATGTTTAAACCAATTTATAGGTTGTTTATTGCAACGACAGTGTTAGGAAAAACAAGAGATGTGGGTGAATGAATCATTAGGACTGGAATATTTTCCAACAATTTAACACGATATTTTGTACGAAACCCCAGGGTGAATAACATAATTTTATATAAAAAGTCAGTGGTAACTCTACATTCACAATTGTCTCTAATTTCCCAGGAATGCGACAGCATAAATCATACGGTTTTATTGATATCAGCTTCTTGTTAATTGCATAGAACAACGTTTCTGTGTAGGTTCTCACACCATGGTCAAGCTAACGGTGACAACAACCAAGTGATTAGAATTATAGAATGCTGCGACAAACATCGTGTACTTGAATAGCAAAGGGTAGATAATTGGACGAGGACAGGTTCTATAAAAGAACAAGAGATGGTAAGATGGTTAAATTGTTATTATTTCATTGCTGAGATCTGTGTGATGTACTCGATACACTGACAGTGCCATAATCAATTCCATTAGGCTGCACCGCCGTTCCAAAACATGGGTACACAGAATGTCAAGTCACAACAATAAAATTGCGAAATTTCTCAGTTCAATATCGTGTATGGCCTCCCCGCGCATTCACCACTGCCAAACATCGTCTCCTCATCGACTGCCTGATGCTTGTGAACACGTGGTTGGGGATTTTGCGCCATTGCTCTTGCAAGGCATCGCCAAGTTCCTGCAAATTCTGAGGTTGGTTCCTAAGACCACGAAGCCTTCTCCCAAGTGCATCCCAAACGTGCTCTATTGGATTAAGGTCAGGGGACCTCGATGGCCAGTCCATGACGTTGAGAGAGAGAAAATTTCGTGTCAACATCGCGGTATGCGGCCGAGCATTATCATGCTGGAACTGTAGACCTGGGCTATGAGCCGCCATGAAAGCAACGAGTTCAGGGGTGAGCACCTGGTCGCGGTAAGCAGCAGCTGTGAGGTTTCCACGGATGACCAGAAGTCGGGAACGGTTGTTCCATCAGAAACCCATCCCAAACCATGCAACTTCCGCCCCCGAATCTGTCGACTTCCTGTACACAACATTGGGCATACCGTTCAGAAATCTGTCACGTAGGTGACGTAGGACGATTTGAAAGTCTTCTGATCGTGACGTCACACGTGGACGACCCGACCTTGGGCGATCAGAAGTGGTGCCAGTTTGTTGTAGACGACCTCGCAAGTCATACACAGTACGGCGGCTGCATCACGTTGCTCTTGCAACGTCAATAACTGATCTTCCTGCTTGCAACATGCCAACGGCACGTTCACGTTGCACATTGGACAATCGTGGCATTTCAAGTACCGTTAGAACTGTGATTTCAAAGTGTTTTTTCAATTTTTGAGTCCAATGCAAACACGTGCATATGAAGAAAACTTCAATGCGACGATCACGTGATTGACTGCACGTACAAAACCTGATTTGGACCTAACGTCATTTGCACTACGAATGGATGGGTTTGAGTGGGTTTTGCTAACGTTTTTTAGAATCAAAAGATAGGGATCCCATTTCGGATACATAGATGTATCATCAGAGAAAAAATATTCATTATTTTTCAAATTACATTTTGTGAAGTTTCTTTTTTGACTGAGTATAGTACCCTTCGTCCGTCACTACATTCACAGCGCTCCTTACACGTTGCTATATGCAATGAACAAGAAGTTGCTATTAAGAAGCCGCATCCTATACCAACTGCTAGAATGCCAATGAAACATACAATCATAATTGCTGTTCATACCGTTGTTCTATAATGTGTATATATGCACAACCTACTTCATCTGGCCTCGTACACCTGAAACATAGTGTATCGAATATGTCGAACACAGAACTGAACCAAAACATCTAATGATATCATAATGATATGAATTGTTTAAATTCCTTAAACTGGTCTTGGAGGTAATAACAAAAGTGTATATATTTTCTGATCACGAATCTGTCATTGTTATTCTGATGCAAATAACCCCAAAGCCCAGCAACTCAGAGCTAGGTCAGTTGATCACACTGATTGCTAATTACCTGGAATAAACAAGAAGTGACCCACATGCAGGTGTGTCACGAATTATCTAGTGCAGGTGAAAGGACGGTCAAATACACGATGTATAAAGAAATCACCAATTTTTTTTTATTTTCATTTCGTCTTGATAAGATGTTAAGATATGCCTTGTAAGATTTGTGCGGCGATCTACTTCTGGGAACCATTTCCCCTCCATCTTGAAGTTGTTTACAGGAGAAAACAACATCATTTAAAGAAAGTCAATATTAAATTATCCAAAGATGGTGTCTAATCTTATTCAATTAAAATAATTCTGGTAGTGAAATAAAAAATTCTGCCAGAAATGTCTGCGGGAAAAAATATTTCTGCCAGAAATTTCTGCGGTAAAAAAAAATCTGCGACAAATTTCTGCTGAAAAAATAAATTCTGCTAGAAATTTCTGCAGAAATGCATTTTCAGAGCCAATTTGTGACCTTATGAACACGTGAGCGCACTGGCACATGAGCGTTTTGGGTTCATCTCCTCGATATCTTTCCAATGATATAAAATATGTCTTTGTAGGTCGCTTCCTTCTGTGTGTCAAGTTAGGACTCGCTGGCCATTCCTAAGTTGTCCCACCCGGCATTTTAAAATGAATAATAATAAACAAGTTGTAATTTCACAAGGCGATCGAAACATATATCCGCTAAACCTACCCTGAAACGATGGAAGACACGGGACATAATCGGCGATATTTTCGTCATCAAATTTGCTAAAATAGAGATCCTAACTATATTCAACCAATATGGTCATTCAGATCCATGTTTTATGTGTACGATTTCGTGACAATTGCGGGCTGACACGAAATGTCAAAGCACATGTCGGTGATGAAAATAGGGTGTGTCGTTGTTTACATTTCGCCCATGTAACCATACCATTGTAACAACATCACAAGAGTGACAATCTTACTTTCGATAAACAGTTGTTCTTGTTCCATCATTCCTCAGAATAAATACACATAAATCCATGAAATGAAATCCACTACAAGCCGACATGGCATATCCAGAAAGTCAGTTTAACTGGCCGACATGGCTAAACCTCTCATCTCACTCCCGACCTGGGCACTGATCACTTTGTGTTTTAACTTGCTCGAGCAAGTCAAAAGCCCAAGCTACAATTTTATAACATCATAAGTGTTTCATTACCCCAGATGACTTATAGACAATGAAGAGTGGTCACTTGTAAGCATGGCTTCTGAGTCATGGTGAACATGTATTGTAGGGAATATAAATATATTTTAGAATGACTTCAAAGCTCTCTCTCTCTCTCTCTCTCTCTCTCTCTCTCTCTCTCTCTCTCTCTCTCTCTCTCTCTCTCTCTCTCTCTCTCTCTCTCTCTCTCTCTATATATATATATATATATATATATATATATAAAGAGATTCTCATAACAGGTATTTCAGTTATATTTGTGTATCGCATGATGTTAGCCAAACTAAACATGAATACAAATTGATATCCTGCTTAACAAGTTAATTTCAACCAAGGCATAATAAAAAAATAATCGGATACAAGGTCACAAGTCGAGTAATACACCTCAAAGTACTCGAGTCCGAGATTTGGTACTTATGTTACCCCTATTACTCTTATTAAATCACATCTTGAGTAAGATTGTAGACTTTTAATGAGTACATTATCATGCTGGTTTGTTGAGCAAAAAAACCCTAATTTTTTCAAGAAAACAAAATTGAGTTTATATTATAAAATATTTCAATTTCAATTTATGCACACTAATCAAGCCTCAATTATTTCAGGTAATATACACAAATTCCTTGTTCACAAAGTTATAGGAGATGTGATCTCACAAGTGTAGATCTATATGCAGGGGTGGATATAACCCATTGCCCGACGTCCGAGTCCAGTGTTCTTTTTCTGTCGGACAAGCAAATTTGTATATCACACTACCGGTGTCCAGTTGACTTTCCAAAGTTAATTATGTTGTTTATTTAATACATCGACGAGAAAATGGGTGGTATAGTATGTATGTATGTATGTATGTATGTATGTATGTATGTATGTATGTATGTATGTATGTATGTATGTATGTATGTATGTATGTATGTATGTATGTATGTATGTGTGTAGGTACGTACGTACGTATGTATGTATTACCTGACACATAAATATCGCTTTCTGATTGGCTGAGCACTCTTCTATTATTTTCAATATTTTCACGATAGATGGCGATGTCAAGGTATTCAATGTATCGTTGATAACACAGCTGACCGTGGACTGTGACGGTCCCAAGTCATCTCCATTGCACATTTGCATTTTACCTGTTGCTAAATAGCTTAAGGTGATGGCAATTTTCAGTTCAGGTGCTATAGCGTACTTTCTTTTCGTGGGTGATTGCAAAGATTCTCTCACCAAATCTGTCACATATATGATCAATACAGAATCGTTTGACTAATTCATTGTCATGGTAAAAAGTTGAAAAGTCCTTACGTTCTCGAAAATGTCTGAGGTGACGGCTGCGTTGTCTAACGTCCGCCATTTTGTTAAGAAAATTCTTAGGTAGACCTCTGTGATGACTCTTTACATTTTCTCACTCTAAGAGTACTCTTAAGAGTACAGAGGCTTTATAACTAGGTCTTAAGAAAATTCTGAAACTTTCACAAAATTCTCAGTATTTTCTACACTTAGGAGTAACTTTTAGTTCTGAGAAGTTTTATAAATACGGCCGAAGGTAAGAAGAGTTAACATTGGAAGACCGAGATCCTGTCTGATATTTGTTTCCTGTATTCCTTTCTGTGATTCCTTCTGTAAAAATGGTCACACCACTGTTTTACATTCTTTTCGCTATAAACATAGGCAGCAGTCCAGCTACAAAAATCACTTTGTCACAACGTTATTCTGTGGACTCCCATTTACGTTGTCAAAACGTTGTAGCTTAACGTTGTCATACATCATTTTCACGTCGCCACAAGGTTAAAGTTATTTGATGCTAACGTATTTTACGTTGTTTTAACGTTCTCTTTAACGTTAATAGTTGAATAGTTTCCCCAGTAGTGAACAGTACGAAGGAAACCAAGCAGAAATTCACTTCAATGTGTAATCGTCACTTTGCATGTTGTTTTGGTCGTGTGTTTTCTGATGCTGTAGCTGAATAGTGAATATAGAATCGCAAAGCGAAAAGGTTTACAGAAAACTCCAAGTTGTGACATTAAGTTGTTGTAACGTTGCGAGGAGCCCAAAGCATAATGTTTCCTTAACGTAAATTTGCTACGTTGTTATTACATTGGGACATAACGTTATAAAATGACGTAAAATGAAGTTTTGAAAAACTACGCGAATGAATATATGCTCCAGAGCAGGTGTTTTGACGCCATTTGCTTATAAGTACCCTGGTGATGACGAGACGACAGTTGTTGACGAGGGCAGAACTTTTGAACACGATAGGTAACGTTTAGAGACTTCTCCGCAAGGTAAAACAGGTCGTAGATTACAGAACAATATACCTGTCCATTTCCTTCAACCAACATCGTTAGGATTTAGCAGAATGGTATTTGAGTGTCTCCTTCCACAGACTTCGGAAGTCACACAATCAATTTTCTAACTCCACCATTACAGGTACTTGGTCAGAACATCTTGTCGAACGTGAATAAATCCACTTTAGAACACACTCTATTACGTAGGGCCTCGACTGCCGCTATGCACACACCTTTCATTTACCGCGAAATCAGGAATAAACAGTACATACTCAGGAGCTCACTTGCAAAAGCCTAAATTCATGATGACTACGAATATAAAAAATATTGGCCTTACTGTCAATGATTAAAGGTTATAAATGTCGTTACATAATAGGCACATAATATGTACAATGTTGATGTACTAGCACCGGCCAGTTATAAAATGACATTTGTCATCCCACTCGGTGAGATACAATTGTTTTGGCTTTTTGGGTGGGGGTGGGGTGGCGGTGGGGTGTTTAAAAAGAGAAAATACATATGATCTATTAGTGCTAATTAACTACTGTATTCCCTTTTTGTCTCTTCACTGTTGTTTCACATGCACATATGTAGCTGTGTGTTTTCTAGTCTTTCATTCACCTGAAGAAGGAGAAAGAATTAATATACTCCGAAATGTCGTGTCCATCAAAATAAAGAAGGTGACATCCATAAATTCTTGCCATTAAAGTACGGGTCGATAAACCGAATAAGTGAGTGATCCATCAACCATAGAGTTGTCTGAGATTTACAAAATATACAAACCGTTTAAAGACTTCTTTGAGTGGCATTTATAAACTGATATGATGAAGAGGAAAATATTATGAGTTGTATACGTCTCGAGATAGTTGAATGAGAAAATAAATATCAATAGCGAGCTTATCGATCTTCATAATGAAATTAAATGATATTTTGTGCATTTAACGTGGCGACAAGATAAATACGTTGTAAACTTCTCCCTCGGGTAATACGGTCTAATGTACGCCTTTTTGGGTAATACCGTCTGATTTTGTAGCAGTGTCAACCGAGCCGGTAAAAGAATGGAACATTAACACATATTGATTCCCACAGATAACTATAAATGGACAGATTATTATTGTGGACATAGATTGTGGAAAATTATTTTACTTGATTCATATTTGTTAATATATTTGTACCCAATATGTACACAAAAGTATTTGAATTGCAATGCTGAGAACATTGTTGGTGGATGGGTTTTTTAACTGGTTGACTTTCTAGGTGACCTTCAGAGCCTCATATTACTTTCAGCCCTTTGAATTTCAATTTCGAATTTGTTTCAGATGTTGAGTGTTCCACATCCCAGATTTGTCTGTCTCTTAGTTGTACTTTTCGTCGCAACCTCATTTGTATCATGGAGACATTTTGATAAGTAAGTATGACATGCCTCTGCTAGGTCCTCAGCCAACCCCAGAACAAGGTAACCAGTTATACATGCTGTGGGACTGCCAGCCAAATCCGAGCCAGGACACAGAGAGTCCAAATTGAGTCCATTCTCCTGGGTCAACATGAGCAAGAACTGATCTCATGACTGACTTTTTGACGGACGAGCTGACGTTTGAAAGTTCAGACTCGGTTATCAGTGCGATGTGGTATTTCAGTGTCACGGATCGATATTTTTTTACGTCAGTCAGTGGAATGTCTGACACAGACACATTTTTTTATGGACCAACGCATTTAACATACGTTATATTTGGGATTACACTTTCTCCAGATTCCAGTACTATTGTTAGGAGACAAAAAGGCCGATTTTGCTGCTAAGGCAGAACTCAACAAATCTGTGACACCACTTCTCATACTCCGATTACAGAGCAGTCATTAGATCCTTCATCCGTGATATGATGCAAAGGAAGTAGGACACTCAAGTGGGTTGTCAGTCCTGATTTGAAGAGGTCATCATGCGGCGATCTTTTTAATCATGTTGCTCCTCATTTAATTCTTTGATTTTTACCAGGAATTGATTTAACTGATAAATTTTGATATTGTGTAGATAGTTGATTTTGAATATTAGTAGAGTTTAAGTTAGATGGTCAGAGGCAACTTAGATTGTCAGAGCCAGTATCCTCGAAGGGGATTAAATCATTGTAAAATTATTGTCCTCCTGAGAGGATACGTAAGTCCCTAAACTTTCAAAGTCAATTTCGACCTACAAAGTTATTTTAATCGTAGAATAATTGTTGTTTTAAATGATGGCTAAAATTTACTACAATCCCCAGTCCAGCTAGGGTCCATGCAGGTAGCCTGAGTATTGTAACCCCACATGGTCCCTAGTATGGTGATCTACCTTCAGTTTTTGGCGATCTATAGCCCATTTTTACATTGTATTGTCCAAAAATAGTTTTGTACTTTTAAAGATATCTGCTAGCTAGTTTTAACTCAATCTGTGATAACCTAATGGTTTTACTGTCCTTTGCTGACAGGGTTTAATATATTACATGTATGTATTATTAATTTAGAACTAGTTTTAGTCACGATATGGCTGAAATATTGCCGATACGACTTTAAATCTCAACTCACTCACTCACTCACCCCTAGTATGGCACCCGTGAATGTCCGGGTTAGAATGAGCCTTCAGTAACCCATGCTTGTCGTAGGAGGCGACTAACAGGATCGGGTGGTCAGGCTCGCTGGCTTAGTTGACACATGTCATCGGTTCCCAATTGCGCAGATCGATGCTCATGCTTTTGATCACTGGATTGTCTGGTCCAGAATCGATTATTTACAGAGCGCCACCCTATAGCTGGAATATGTCTGAGTGCGGAGTAAAACTAAACTCACTCACTAGTTGTGATAAATAGGGTTGTCTTGCCACAGTTCTCCATATTCGCCATCGTTAGGGAGTGAAATACGGACCCACGCGCATTGATTGTATGATTCTTGCAATATTTTACATATTTTTAAAGATTGATGTTGACAATTTTCGGAAATTTTGGATGGTACTGCAAAACTGCCATTGGGAAATTGACATCCTCACTGGTAAAATAGATGCTCTTTGAAAGCGAAATAGATTGCTGGACAATGGATTGGTTCTGTTCTTACGGACTTTCATACTGTTTGAGTGTTTAGCAGTGCTTTGCTGTATACAACACCGCACCAAATGATACGAATACATATTCAGCTATACATGATATCTTGCAGGATTCAAATCTTACGACAGCCTTACCCTTCAAGAACTGGACATCAAAGGCAAAGCCATGGACTGGAAATGCATATCACCACAGAAGGCCCTGTGATAAGTGATGTCGAAATCGATGATGCAAATAGGCATGCATCTCCAACAACCTCAAAGATGTCAGCTGTCCATCCTACACTTGTGTACAGACTTAATGAAACAATCACAGTGAAGATTGTACTATTCGACCACAAGAACAGAACGAAAACCCGAGGTGGAGACATGCTCATTGTATGGATGCGAGACCAAGGAAAAGGAGCAGCCTCAGCCGGAACTGTTACTGACCATGGTAACGG